ACTCCTGTGGGCAAGGAACATATCTTGTCTATCTTTGTATAGATCACAGATGTAGGAGATATTCAACAAATTGCTTTTTTGTTGGTGGTGATGACACTGAAACTTTATATAAATATCAAGAGTAAAGCTTTATAATTGACCTACTATTACTGCATTATGACCACCACAGGTCAGGTTTCCACCCATGAGCATACAATTGAGCCCCTCTACCCCTCTCACCCACACCCTTCTCCTTGCCTCTCTGGCAACCACCAAGCTGACAAATTGTGCAGACCAGCACACCCACAGGCACACACACAGACAGATGTGTACACACTTGCGGACACACAAGCACCAATGCATTTTTTTCTGTCTTTTTCCTGGTTGATGGTCTGGTCTGGCCTAGTTTGCAGCAATCCTCAGTACCCGCCTCCTCCTTCTGGATGCTGCATTCTCCAGCTGTGGCTTTGTGACCTCTGTCTTGGATTTCCACTACCCTCTGGTAAACTACATCTCCACTTCTTTCAGGCCCAGTCCCTCCCTCCAAAAATGTCTGTGCTCCTGTCACCCAGGCTAAACGGTTAAGCTGCTCTAGGACCTTAAAGAACACAAAAGGAAAAAAGCTTATCTTTCTCTCTGAGACTTGTATTTGAGTAACAGGAACAGCCTCGCACTGAGCCTCAAGGCCAGCTGGAAATTGATCATGCAGAGAAAGAAGGGGCTACCCAGAGGTGGGCCCCTTGAATAAAGGTGAATCCTGCCTCTGGACTCCTGTTACAAAGACTTCCCTAGCTGGCTTGGGTGGAGGGCACCCTACTCTCCTGTGGCCTCAAGGCCAGCTGGAAACTGATCAGACAGAGAAAGAAGGGGCAACCCAGAGGTGGGCCCCTAGAATAAAGGTGAATCCTGCCTCTGGACTCCTGTCACAAAGACTTCCCTACCTGGCTTGGGTGGAGGGCACCCTACTCTCCTGTGGCCGCTGTCACTATAAGGTACTAATTTCTTTGGATCCTGGCCCCTGTCTCCTGAATTGCTTAGTTTCCTTTGTCTCCCAATAACTGTAACACAAGGGTGTGAACAATTAGATGACAACTCTTTGACAATCAATCATATCACAAGTTAGCTAGGGAAAGAGTGCTGCTTTGTGGCCCCCCCAAACTTCTGCCCCTACACAGCAGGAAGTAGCTCCAGAAGAGGGACATCTGCCCCTGGTGCCTTAAGAGTGAGGAACAGGATACAGACAGAAGAGGGAATTCTCCCTGGTTGGTAACCCTCAGTTCCTTGTTCTTGCCTGTCTGTCCTTGCCCTGCTCCTGTTTATCTTTTCATGCAGACAAAACCAGAAAACCAGGCAAAACTGGCTGAAACCAAGATAGAGGTAGAAGTAAGATAAGGGTGAAGCCACAACCTCATTATCACGGTAAAAAGCTGCCCACCAGCCCGGGACAGCTGCCAGTCAAGACCAAAGTTGGAAGAAAAAGGGGCATGAATATGATGGAGGAAAGAATAGAAAACCTAAAGGCGGCATCACAAAACTAAAACCTGACTCACACAAGGAGGCGGGGGTAGAGGGGATTAACATGACCATTAACCCAGCCATAGAAATCAAGACCCTTAGGCACCAGTGCCTTTTCACAAGGCCTAAGCCCCAAGTGGGATCAGACTCCTGTAGGGAGTGGCGCACAGACCTGCGGGTAAAGGTATAGAGATTGGGCCCATCCTGGAATCTCTGGCCCCTTTCTAGTTTTGCCTAATTATCCCAAATCAGCAAACAACAGGCCACTCCACAAAGGAGTGACCCCTTCCAAAGAGAAAAGGACTGTATCAGTACAGTCTCTGCACTGGCTCAGGGCAGCAGCCCCTCTGCCCACCTGTGACTATGCAGGTGCATCTTTTCACCAACTCTCTCCCTCCTGCCTGCCCCTGACCTGCACCACGCTGGGACTTCTCTTCACTGACCTCCCTCAGCCTCAGCGGAGGCAGCTCTCCTCAAGGCCGCCCACCTGCAACCATGCAGGCCTCTCTCAGCAAACCTGCCCCTTCCGGGGCAGCTCTTCCTGCCCGCTTGTGTTTATGCAAGTGTCCTTTATTCTTCCTTCCCTTTTCCTAATAAACCTGCTCTTTAAATATAACTAATGTCTTTGTCTCCTGGAGAACCTCGCCCGGGAAACTCACCGCGTGCTGCTGAAATGGGAGCTCCGGTAAAACCTTTCCCAGAGTGAACCCAAGGACCCTGCACTCCAAACGCACAGACTCCAAAAACGACATCAAACACAGTTCCTGGAAAACCCTATTTCTCTGAAATCCTACTGATAGCGCCCTTTAGCCCTTTCCTTAGCACTCCCCCACATAAGCCCCTGCTTCTCCCTGGTCAGGGAGAAGGCCTCTGTGACGGTAATCCGCCACGTCCTTAGGTCTGCAGGCACCAGATGAAATCATATTTCCTCCCTCTGTTAGGGGGAAAGGATGTCCTGAGCTAATAATCAATCCAGGCTTTCTGGACTCCACCCCCACTCCAGACCAAAGCCATCAAGACATTTAAAAAGACAAATCCGGGCCTCCCCGGTGGCGCAGCGGTTGAGTGCTGGGTTGCGAAGCTGCCCACAGCCTCTGTGGCGCCGGTTTGATCCCCGGCTGCTCCCTGGCCACCAGAGGAGGGTCCCACATGGCGCGCAGACCTCTCCTGCAACCCACTGCTCCCCTCAGCAGTGTACTTTGGTCCTTTTGCCTGCTCTGCTCCCCGCTCTGGCTCTGGTGAATTCTCTCACCCTCCCGTGCTTCTGACCATACCCAGTGCATGTATAAACAGAACAAACAAACAAATAAATAAATAAAACATGCCTCTATTTAAAAAAAAAAAAAAAAAAAGACAAATCCTCAGACAACCCGTTTTATATCGGGGCTGCCCTGTAACACCACCAACCTTTGTCTCTCCAGGTTTGGCTTAAGAGCAACGAGTAGCCAGACCCCCACAGAACCCTTGTCACATCCCCTGAAGGGCCATCCCACCCCTGCTCTTCGCATGCTGGACACTTTCTTTAGCAACTTCATCAAAACTGCAGACACACTGGACTAGTCAGAGAAACTCACAAGCTGGGGTGTCCCCAGCCCAGCCCTCCCCTCCTCATCCCCAGACCTGCCGAACACCTCAGGGCAGCCTGCCCTCCCTCACCTCCCCCCAGGGCCAGGTCCTGTGCTCTTCCCTTTGACAGCGGCTCCCAGTGAGGGAAGCTTCAGTCCCGCACCCTCCCTTCTGACCCTTTTGCAGTGTCAGTGGTGGCCTTTGTGGCTCACTGGGGCCAGCCATCAGGGTCCCCCTCTGCTGCCCTGGCCTCTGTGAGCTCCTGTGTTCATTTCCTACTGAAATTCCATTCGCTGTGGCCTGTCTACGCCTATAAGGACGAAAATGTGATGAATCACCACAGTAAATCTTAACCGTAGAATCTCATCAGTGGGTCTATGAGTGTCGTTTGCAGTTGTTTCAACTTTTTTATGCTTCAAAATACTCCTTTAATGTTCAGAAACTATCCTTCAATGGTATCTTTTGGCTTTTTGGATAAACTCATACTCCTTCCTGCGGAGAATAAGGCCCTCTTTGAGCTGGCCGCTGGCTCCCTCTAGAATCTCATCTGCCACCACCCACATGTTCCCCTCTCACAAACCCGCCTAAATTACTTGGAACTGTAACAGGGTGGTCCCCAGGAAAGGGGGAGGTTCTAGGTTCCCTGCCCCACCCAAAAGGAGTGGGGAGCTGAGCAGGGAGAGAAGAAGCTGCAGAGGAGACTGAGGAAGGAAGGAAGCAGGATGGAGCCAGAAGGAGACCTGGAGGAGGCACATGGAGCCGTGAGACTGTGAAGAAGCTGCGCTTGCCTTTTGGTCGTGGACTGGGTGACACAGATGTGGGTGAGAGACCCGTGGGGAGGTGACAATGGTGGGTTTTGTCTTGATTTTGATTTTGCTCTTTTCCCTCCAGACTTGTCTGGTTGTTTCTGATCCTTTTCTGTGGGTCCCCACTTGAAGGTGCTTTAGACTTGTGGCAGGCTTTGGGGTCCTGCTCTGGGCCAATCCTGCTTGGGTGGACTTTTACCCACCAGGGGACGGGTAACTTTGAGTACTTGATTTAGAAACTATATTGTTTGCCTTTCCTGCATTGTTTCCTAATTGTATTAAAATTCCTTCCCATTAAAGTCTCATTTGTTTTGTGTTGATGGCAGAACCTATTTAGAGCAGGCAAGTTTGTGGGGTCTGGGCTGCCCCTCTCCCTGCCCTGTAACAGATTCACCCAGAAGAGCTGGGGTGCATCATTCCTCTGTGCCCACACACTTGCTATTCCCAGTTTCCAGAATGCCCTTCCCTGCGTTTCCTCTCCAGCCACCCCAAGCCTGAGGGTCCTCCTCAAACTCATGCCTCCTCCAGGAAGCTGACCCCCTGGGAGTGGAGTCGTGCTTATCTGGTTTCCTTTAGCCTCTTCCTCAACTCAGCAAAGGTTTGTGACCTACTGGGCCTCGCCAGAAGCAGCTCCGAGCCCTCCCTGGCCCGGCTACCCTAAGGCTCTGAAGCACAGAAGAGCGCTCAGTTCTCCCCTCGGGCGGCTGCCCCGCCTCGCAGAGCTGCACACCTAGCAGGGCGGGCCCGAGGCCGCCCGGCGGGGACTCGGGCGCCGGCAGCGGGGCGAGCCGGCGCAGGGGTGGGGGCGCGGGAGGAAGCGGTCCGGCGGGGCAGGGGAGAGGGCGGGGCCTGGGCGGCGGGGCGAGTCGGTGTCCCAGGCCCGAGACGGAAGTTGCACAAGTCCGATTAGTTTCAGTTTTGCTTCCCTTTCAGACGCCGGGCAGCGGCGGCGGCCAGACCGCGGCCTCCCGCTCCCGCCGGCGCCCAGTCGGCTCGGGTAGGTAGGCGCGGGCGGCGCGGCCGGGAGGGCGGCTGGAGGAGGAACTGGACCGCGGGGGGGGGTGGGGGGGGAGCCCCGAGAGGGAGGAAGGAGGTGGAGAGACCCAGGAGGCTGGCGGGGACTGCCCTCCCCTCTGCCCAGGGCCCGAGGCTTCCCTAGGAATGCCCCCCCCCAGCCCACTCTCCGAGCTCCCCTCCCAGCGCACACTCACACTCACTCACGCTCACACCCCTACCCACCGGGCACGCACACGCGCGCACACACCTACCTTCGTTTCCGGAAGTTTGGGGGGAGAGTCCCCAAGTTCCTGCAAGTACTTCACAGCCAGGGCGCCGCGTGCAGAGCTGGTGTGGAGAGCTGGGGGACTAGGGATGAAACTCAGAGGGCCCCGGCCCTTCTGCGGTCTCTGGGAAAGCAGGAAGCCTCTCCTAGCAGGGACGGCTGAGAGAAGAGGACTCTAGGAAATGAGGCAAAGCCTGAGGTGACCTGTGTTCCAGCAGCTGGAAGGAGAGAGGGCAGCCCCTCCTTTCTGCTCCCGCCAGAACAAGGCAGGAGAGTCAGGGCAGGAAGGGAGGTCCCGGCTCTCCATGATGCAGCTCCCAGGGGCTAGAAGACAGGTGTGTGGGCTATGGGAATTGGCACCCCTTCCGAGCCCCACTTGCCAGGCTTCAAGGCCACTCTGCCCATCTGGAAGCTCTCCTGTGTCCTGCCTGCCCACCCCTGCCCCCTAGCACCCCACCCCTGCAGGACCCCAGGACCATTCAGGCTTGCCAGTGTAGTGTCATTACACTGTCAACTGTCTGAGACCCAGGCTTCTAGGTTCTGTCATTTCTCCCAGTGACTGAAACAAAGCCAGTAGCATTGACTTTTTTTCCATTTCCTCCATGTTCGCAAGAAGAAGGCGGATCACCCCCTAGCCCAAGAGCCCAGAGGCCCTGACCGAAGACCAGAAGAAAATTCCTAGCCATTCAGGTGAGACCCCAGTCCTAGTGGGGCATGAGGATGGGGGGAGTGGCAAGAGGGCAGGCTGGAGACCTTGTGGAGGTGCCCTCTGCCCTCTGACCGTGACCCCTCCTTGCAGTATGGTTTCCCAGGGATCCTCACCCTCCCTGCTGGAGGCCCTGAGCAGTGACTTCCTGGCCTGTAAAATTTGCCTGGAGCAGCTGCGGGCACCAAAAACATTGCCCTGCTTGCACACCTACTGCCAGGACTGTCTGGCCCAGCTGGCTGAGGGTGGCCACCTCCGATGTCCCGAGTGCCGAGAGACTGTGCCCGTGCCCCCCTCAGGCGTGGCCGCTTTCAAGACCAACTTCTTCGTCAATGGGCTCCTGGACTTGGTGAAGGCTCGGGCGGGTGGAGACCTTCGTGCAGGGAAGGCAGCCTGTGCTCTGTGTCCCCTGATGGGCGGCACCAGTGCCGGGGGGCCAGCCACAGCCCGGTGTCTGGACTGTGCTGACGACTTGTGCCAGGCCTGTGCCGATGGGCACCGCTGCACCCGCCAGACCCACACCCACCGAGTGGTCGACCTGGTGGGCTACAGGGCAGGGTGGTATGATGAAGAGGCCCGGGAGCGTCAGGCTGCCCAGTGCCCCCAGCACCCTGGGGAGGCCCTGCGCTTCCTGTGCCAGCCCTGTTCCCAGCTGCTGTGCCGTGAGTGCCGCCTGGACCCTCATCTGGACCACCCCTGTCTGCCCCTGGCTGAGGCAGTGCGTGCCCGGAGACCAGCCCTGGAGAAGCTCCTAGAAGGTGTAGACAGCAACCTGGCCGAGCTGGAGGCCACTCGAATGCTGGAGAAGGAAGCCTTGGCCCAGCTGAGGGAGCAGGCAGCCAAGGTGGGGATGCAAGTGGAGGAGGCGGCTGAGGGAGTCCTCCGGGCCCTCCTGGCCCAGAAGCAGGAGGTGCTGGGCCAGCTACGGGCCCATGTGGAGGCTGCTGAAGAGGCTGCCCGGAAGCGACTGGGGGAGCTGGAGGGCCGGGAACAGGTGGCCAAGGAGGCTGCTGCCTTTGCCCGTCGGGTGCTCAGCCTGGGTCGTGAGGCTGAGATCCTCTCGCTGGAGGGGGCGATCACACAGAGGCTTCAGCAGCTACAGGGTAGTCCCTGGATGCCTGGGCCAGCCCCTTGCCTGCTGCCTCAGCTGGAGATCCACCCTGGACTCCAAGACAAGAACTGCCATTTACTACGGCTTTCCTTTGAGGAGCAGCAGCCACAGAAGGACAGTGGGAAAGAAGGAGCCAGGAGCCAGGGAAGCAGCGAAACCCAGAGCTGCATTGAGAATGGAGCCAAGAATGAGAGACGCGATGGAGTCCAGCCCCAGGGTAAGGATAGAGCCCCGACACCCCAAGAAGATGGAACCCAGACCCCGAAAGAGGGCAGAGCCCAGTCACCCACAGAAGATGAAAGAGCCCAGACCCCGAGGGGTGGCAGATTAAACAAGAAGAAGAAGTTCAAAGACAGGTTCAAGTCGATTTCCCGGGAGCCCAGCCCAGCACCAGGGCCAAACCTGGAGGGTTCTGGCCTCCTCCCCAGACCCATCTTTTCCTGCAGCTTTCCCACGAGGATGCCTGGAGACAAGCGGTCTCCCCGGATCACTGGACTCTGTCCCTTTGGCCCCCGGGAGATCCTGGTGGCCGATGAACAGAACAAAGCGCTAAAGCGCTTTTCCCTCAACGGTGACTACAAAGGAGCAGTGCCTGTCCCCGAGAGCTGCTCCCCGTGCAGTGTGGCAGCCCTGCAGGGTGCCGTGGCCTTCTCGGCCGGTGCCAGGCTCTATCTTATCAGCCCTGATGGAGAGGTGCAGTGGCGCCGGGCCCTGAGCCTATGCCAGGCCAGCCACGCTGTGGCTGCCATGCCGAGCGGGGACCGGGTGGCCGTCAGCGTGTCTGGCCACGTGGAAGTATACAACATGGAAGGCAGCCTGGCCACCCGGTTTATCCCTGGAGGCAGGGCCAGCCGGGGTCAGCGGGCGCTGGTGTTCCTAACCACCAGCCCGGAGGGGAATTTTGTGGGTTCAGACTGGCAGCAGAATAGCTTGGTGGTCTGTGACGGGCTGGGTCAGGTGATCGGGGAGTACCGAGGGCCAGGCTTGCATGGCTGCCAACCAGGCTCCGTGTCTGTGGATAAAAGGGGCTACATCTTTCTGACCCTGCGTGAGGTCAACAAGGTGGTGATCTTGGACCCCAGGGGGTCACTGCTTGGTGACTTCCTGACAGCCTATCATGGCCTGGAAAAGCCACGGGTGACCACCATGGTGGACGGCAGGTACCTGGTTGTATCCCTCAGTAATGGAACCATCCATGTCTTTCGGGTTCGTTCTCCTGACAGTTAATGGGGTAGGGTTGGATGGGGTAGGGTGGGGCTGGGGAGGGAGGGGAGAGGCAAGACTACCCATGGGATGTGGTGGGCGAGGGTATTTTCCTGAGGGCAGGGGTTGGCAACTTTTCAATGTGAGGTGCCAAACTGCTCCCTCTTTGGCGTATAGGGATGGGCAGGAACCAAGGGTGGTGGCGTGACCATGGCTCAGAAGCAGAAGAGGAGGGTGGCAGGGGTGCTGGCCACACCTCTTGCTCTCTGTGGATGGCTGCTGCATTTAGTTTAGGTTCCTGAGGTTGGAAAGCTCTCTCTGATTTGTGTTCTTCAAAACCATTCCTGATAGAGTAGCCTGGGGAGAGCCTGGGGAGAAGTCCCCCGAGTCATGAAGTGCCCAGGGTGTGTTAGACAGGTGCCTTCTGAAAGACAGCAGAGAGCCTGGCACTCTTCAGACTGGAGCAGGGACATACCAGTCGGAGGAGGCCTGGGATTTCCACAGAAAATGGCTTCTTCCACCAGTCCAACCCAGAAGTTGAGGCTCCTAAGATAATGGCATCTCCCAGGGAGGTAGAAGGTCAGTTTCTGCCAAAATGCGGACACCAGCTGAGGCCAAGAGGTGGTTACTTCCAAGTCCATGAAGAGAATGTACTTCTAAAAAACTGAACCGGGCAGGGCTGCAGTCTAAAAAGCAGAGTTCTGGGTGTAGGAGTAGCGGAGGCCCCTGGTCCTCCCCTCCCCCACCTCCAGACTTACGGAGGATGTAAAATAAATCTCTAGGATGCAACACTTCTGTGTTGACATTTTTACATTTCCTGGAGTCTAGCATTAGCTTTCCCTCAGTTTATTAGCAAAATCCCTTTTGAGAAATTTTGGCCTTCATTTGGCTGAACTGGGGTGAAGGAATGTCGTTTTTGTAGGCTGCTGTGACTGAGGACAACCACCTATAAGCCTAGAGGCCAGGTGTGGATTGGGGGACAGGGGCAAGCCAACCAGAAAATCTGGCAAGTGGGTAGTGGGGCTGAAAAAGTGACAGCTAGGAGCGGGAGCCATTCGCAGGTGTTTCCCGGCCCTAGTGCTTTGCGTGGGCCATGGCCACAGTGGGACCGAGATGAACAGGTCTGGCTAGGGGTTGTGGAGACGTGACCAACGAGAGTCTTAACGTAGAGATCATTGGCAATGAGAATTCACGGAACCGGAGGGATTTGGGATGAGACCAGAGGGGAGGTGTAGGGCATTAGGGGTAGGGCAAAGAGAATCCTTCTGCAGGAAGATCACTGCTTATTTAATGAAGAGAGTGCAGAAATTATCAGTGTCAAGTGGACACATTCATATATATAAGAACTTAAAATGTATGAACAGCGAAGAATAATGAAGATTAAAGGAAAATCAACAGCATGAGAAAACTACGCAGAGTTGATCTGAGGAACAGCAGGGCCTCCAGTATGTGAGTGACGGAAAGGTCTGCTTGGTCAGAGGGCCACACAGACGCAACACCGGGGAGGCACACACCCAGGCTAGTAAAATAAGATAGACCATTTGTATTCATCAGAAATACATTTTGAAACTATGTCATGGTGAAATAGACTCCTGGCACTATAAAATGAAGTCTGGAGAGAGATTGGGCAATGCCTGACCAGGGTCCAAAAAAAAAAAAAAAAGGCTTATAAAACTGAGCTATTCCACTTTTGGGGAATACATTCTGGGAAAATAATTCAAAAGGGAAAAAGTATTTGCAAGAGATGTGGCCATCCTATATACTACAGTCATTAACTGGAAACTGCTGAACAGTGGGGGGTAGATAAGTAGATTGTGGTCTATTAGGACAATGAGCTGCTGCCTTCAGGTATGACAAGTACGAAAACTATGTGGAAGAATATGTTATATGATGCAACCATAGTCAGTGATTGGGGGGAGTTTGGAATTATGATCACATAATGATGGCAACAAGGTTGAAAGTGTGACTGAATAATTCTGGAGTGGAAATAGGTTCAAAATTTGTAAATAGTGATTGGGGAGATTGGGTTCTTTTTTGAGTTATTTCATGCTGTTGTTCATATGTGCACATTCCTGCTTCAGTGATTATTACCCATTAAGTAACATATAGGCTTGAATATTTACTTTAAAAATATACACGCCTCTGTAATTGAAATTCAAGAATTGCTGCTGGGTTTGCAAATGAACATGGGAACACAAATAAGACTCTCCCATTAGAGGAGGAGGAGGAGGGGTCGGGAGGAAACCCCAGCAACTGGGACCTAGTTGGAAGAAAGAGTTGTCAGGGCCGAATTTTGTTTGGTGACTGACCAAGGAACTTGCCTTGGGGGCTTGGCAGAGGTCAGGATGTCCCTTTGGGTGAGTGGATCATTGTAGAGAGTCCAGAAAGCAGGGGACGGTTTTGTTGGTTTTCCCAACTAATTCAGACCAATTGGAAACCAAGCGGGGGTCGTATGGGACCAAGCAGTGTGGGAGGAGTTGCATGGGTGTGTCTGTCTTTGCAGCTCAGTGTGCCGAGTTAACACTGTCATGGCTCCTAGAAAGTGCTAGGAAACATCTGTGAATCAATACCTAGAAAAGAATGGGACAGTGGAAGGCTGCATATATTTCCCACCTCAGATGCCATAGCCCCAGCCAACCCTGTCATTCAAAACCCTGGCTTGTGGGAAATCTCCAGTAGGGGGCACTGTGGACACAGCCCACCCTATGCCTCTCAGGGTGGCTGGGCTCCAAGTCAAAAAAAAGAGATAGGGGTGTCCTGCTTATGTGTGTGTATGGAGGGAGGCTCTGGGGTATGGGGACTCTAGGGGATCCTAGCTCAGCTCTGTTGAGCTGTGGAGAAACCATATGTGGAGGGCCTGGCTGGTGAGGAGGCTCCAGCCCTGGGGCGCAACTGAAAGAGAGCAAAAATAGAGACGTTCAGTAGTGTGTGTCACCTGCTGCAAGAAGAGAGCCCCACAGATGCTCTGGAGATTCAGGAAGCTGGGCACTGGAAGATTGACAGAAATAATAAAGTTTCCTCACTAAGGGGCAGAGGCACAGAACACTGGCAAAATGGGAAACAGATGGGAAGTACAGCATCAAGCATAATTTGGAGGTAAAAATCCCCACCTTAACTGGGACCTGGAAATCCAAATGGGCCCCATGGAAAGCACTGCCTGGCATTGAAGGAAACTATGGGTGTTAGGAAATTGGGAACATCACGAAAGATACAATGACACCCCTTCCCCACTCCCACCCCACATTGCACTGTGAAATTAAATTCATCAATCATTCCTTTTTCTGTTTGGAACTTTCCAGGTTGAACGAAGAATGCCATTTGGGTAGAGAGAAAGGGAGTAGAAACCTTTTTCATATTCTTTGTTCCTAAAATGGAAATGGAAATGAGTAGGCAGAGATGGAGGTTGAGGGCTGGCTTTTCCACTAAATAGCTGTGTGATCTTGGTCTAGCTCCCTAACCTCTCTGAACCTATTTGTAGATGTGTAAAAGAGGGTAATGGTATCCACCACGCCCACTTCGCAGGGTTGTTGTGAGGACTGGGTGAGCAGCACGGAGACGTATATTGTATGCCATGGGTTAGAGAATAGTCCAGCCGACTTGTGCTCACCCAATAATGCTCTTCCATCGGTGTAAATTGAGCAAAGATAAAAGGTAAAATCTCGAGGTAAAATGTCGAGACTATCTGGGTAGTGTTATTACCTGCAAACTGTCTTTTCTTTTGGAGGAAAATGTTTTGTTTAGCTCCGCAGCTATTCCTTGAAGAAGCCATATGCTAAACCACAACAGTGATTTAGGAGCAGAAGGGACACAGACCAACTAGCTAAGACTCAATGCCATTCCTACAAGCCAGCTGAGAAGCAGGCCGCACTAATTAGGGCTTGATAAACAGACATTTAGAAAAAGTTCAAATTGGCACGAGTGACCCCATCTTTTGCTAGTTTAGGGAAACTGTAATTTGGGAGGGAAAAGTTCTCCTTTCTCTATAGTCTTATAACTATTGAATCCATAAAGCACTATCATAGAATAAATGTACAGTGATGAAATTCCAAAGGGACAGAAGTCTTAAGAGAGATGTCAGAAATCTTGCGAGGAAATTGGTGAGGTTGGAGACCTGAGGGGGCGGGCGCAGTAAGTGGGTGCCAGGGTCAAAGTCAAAGTAAGTGGGTGCCAGGGTCTCCCCGCAGCAGGTCAGCTGGGAATGAGAGTGACCCTGCAGGTGAAGTGGGAATAGACAGGGCCACAGAGTTGGGCTTTTTGGGGGAGAAAGCAGTCTTGGACTAGCTAGAGTGGGGAGCTGCCCACTGGGGCACTCAGTGTTCTAGCAGGAGAGAAACCAAGGTCAGACGCAGGCTTAGGAAAATAGGTAACTTGGCTAAAGGTAACAGAATCTGCCTACTCAGCTTGTTCAGGAATATAGTTAAGTGCATAGAGACAGGAGGAAGAATAGGTCTTCTACTACAAATGCCTTTGATAGCGGGAGCAGAGAGTGTACGGCAGGGTCAGGCTGTACCACACTGAAGCGTCAGGAGGAGTCTTTGGGGCCAGGTGGAGAAGGGTCTGTATATAAAGAGGTGATTAGGAAGTAGAACTGGTTGGCTTAGCAGACCAGAGAGACGTTGTTGAACACAGAATGGGGCGTTGTGTCCACCAGCAAATTTTTCTTAGCTGCTAATGGATTGTGATGGAAACACCTTCATTTCTTTGGTTGTGTACTTTATGTCGGTCTTCTGTTAATAAATGCTTTGGAAAAATTCAACCCTTTTCTCAGATGGATTTGTGGGTATGGGCAACATCAACACCTAGATACTGAAGGGAACCAGACAGCATCACTGTGCCCGCCAAGTCCAAGATGCCCACGTGGAGTCCTTGGGGACACTGCAGGGACAAAGGGTCACCATCTGGGGACCCTCCCTCATCCAGGCCTGGCCACTTGTAGGACAGAGGAACCTGCTGGGCAGACTGTCCCTCCAGGCTGACTCTCGGGGGAGCCAGCGGGTGATTAGCCCAGCATGACTACATGAAACCACCTTAGG